CTCCTAGACCCCACTCCTGAAACCATCCATTCCCAGTGACCTCCTTAGCTGCTATGTGCTTTGCAGGCTTTTTGCATGGAGTTGCACCCCTGGCACAGCATTTAAATGCACATGCTTCCTCCACATTGGAGGGTGCACAGGGAGCAACATCATAAAGATGCTCCAGCAGACAGAACAGAGCAGGCATTTTGAACTGGCTGGAGACTGCTGGGTCTTGGAGCAGCACAGAGTCTGCACCCAAAACACCATGCACACTGGCTCTGCCACAAGCCTGGGCTGCTTAGCTGGGCAGAGGCTGCAGGGAGGATCCTGAAACTCTTGGAGCCAAAGGATAGAGGCTCCAAGATTTGGCCTGGAGAGGCTGGTCAGAAGAAAGCTTGGAGGAGCCTCCAAAACACACAGTAGGCATCTAGCAAAAAGACTCTGGACATCTGGAGATCCATACAAGGTTGGGAGAACTGCAAGATGGGACACGTGACTTGGAATCTCACCATACACCAAATACTTGACAATGTGAGACAATGAATTTGATTGTCTTAGTGCAATTCTCAAATGTGCCAAAAAACCCAATACTAGGGCAAGGCATGGATAAGTACCAACCCTGAACTAAGATGGCGGGCACCTAGTCTTTATTGTTTAATTAGCTAGACTGGCATGCCAGTCCTCGCCCTATTGTAGAGGGCGGCAGGGCACAATGTTAAATGCTGTTTGGGCGAATATCACTTGGATAACACCAGAGCTGGCATGTGGAAGAAGTGTACGGAATGTGGAGCCTCAGAAAATACACTGAAAAGGCAAGCCCCTTCTTCGAAGAGATGGGCATTGCCCATTATAGGAGCCTCCCTTTTTGTATAATTTCTTTTAAGTATCATGAAGTTGTGGCAGGTGGACAGAGAGGGACCTCACTTTCCCGCTTTTGGCAAGACCCCAGGAGGATCACAAAGAGTTCCAGGAGCTGCCTAAAACTGGTGTGTGACAAGACTTTAAGGAAATAGGTTGTTGCCTACAGAAGTTCATGCATTTCTGAATCATTTGACTTTTAAAAGGTATTACTCTACCCTACCTTTTGCCTAAATTCAGGCTAACACAAGTAACCACCTCTGTGGCAATAATAGGGAAAAGGAGGGGTGGCACTAAGGTTCTCCTTTGCTTTCCCACTCCTGAGTGTAGAGATGGAGATGGGATTCTGAGTCCAGCCAGTTAGGCAGGATTTGAGCTCAGCTTTCTTTGTTCTGTCATGAAAAAAGACGAGCTCTGAGCTCTGCTATCTGTACCAGGTCTACATCTCCTTCCATGGAGCAATGCAGTAACAAATTGCCCCCAAAACTCTCCATGTCTTTGTTTCAGGTGTATTTATACTTTAAGCAAGGACTTCTAGTTAATCTTTGTCATTAGCTTATTGATGAAAACTCAAAGCGTTTCATCCCACATTATTGCTTCTCGGTCTCTTGAAGGCTCAGATCAGGTATTTATTCTCAGGGTGTTGGGTCAGCTATTTAGACAGAGAGATTTATACATCCCAAGGAGGAAACTTAATCTCTACCATCTTTTACCTTCATAGTTTTTACAACCATGAAAACCTCATTTTTGCAGGGTAGGTTCAACTACATCCTTTTCATTGCTCCTACTGACTTCAGAAGAAATAATCACAAAAGGTAACTTTTCCCAATGGACCAAAAAGTCTTGACTTAGGATGTGCCCATGATTAGTCCATTTCCTGGAGAGAGAAAGTGCCAGCTGTTTCTGGCTGCCTTGCTTTCTGACTACCAATCTGTCATTATAAGTTTTTAAATGGCATTGCCTTTCCAACATAAAAGCAGCTTGGGTTGGTGGGAATACTCAGCCTGCATCTGTGCTCATTAAAACGATTAATACAGTGGCATATATTGTAAAGCCTTGACACTGCCCATTTAGTAAGAACATTTCAGGAATACCTGCAAACTCTTTATGAGATGGCCTTTTAGGCAGGCTGACATCACCCAGATGTTTTTAATTACAATGACTCTGGGACTTATTTCTCTGCTTATTTGTTACTGCCCTCCAGTCCTGGTTCCTGTTGATTAAATCTGCCTCAGTAACATAATACAACACTGCTTCTAGATACAAAATGGCTGCAGGTCTTCAGTTTCCTGGTTATTTTGTTTTAATGCATCACTGCATTTTCACATAAGCTAACAATCTGGTGTGACAGGAGTAAAGGAGATCAAAGGCATAACACATTGCCTCTTTTCTCCTGCCTTGACTTTGGAATTTGTTTGTCTCTTTTCATATTTGAAAATATCCAATTTTTAGAGAGAATGTGGTTTTGAACTTAAAAGGCTGTAAGGGTCTGATTTTTAGAGGTGTCCATCAGCCACAACACCAGTCAAAAAAAAAAAAAAAAAAAAAAAAAAATCTAGGGCAGCTCAGTACCCATGAAAATCAAGTTCCACATATATTTAGCTCTGGTGAGAACTGGTATTTTAGAAAGCCCTTGTCTCTTCATATTAATCAGCAATTTCCTCTTTGGACTGTACACCTTCTATTAAGTACTATTCACACAGACAGGGTGAATTCCAGGCCCTTGTGAGCCTCTGCTTTTGGATTTTCAGTTGGATACAATACCTTCCTATATGCCAGAAATCCCCTTCTAGCCTTTATTGCTACTCCTGGTAGTGGCCCCTTGAGAAGAGATTCTATGATCAAGGAAGTATTTCTATAGTAGTCTATGAAGCGCTGCAGCAGATATTATTCCTTCTCTAAATAGTCTGTTTCCAGCATGGATTGCAAAACAATAACTCTAAAGGAGGTAGCTGCAAATTCTCACTCACAGGGTGTGTCTACATGGGACATTTACTGCTGAGTAGACCAATTAGCTCTGCAGGAAAACGTCAGCATCTACATGTGCTGCTCTATTAGGCCACAGGACAGCACTAAACTCTACAGCAGGCTAGTACTTGTAAATACTAGTACTAGCCTGCTGTGGACTTATTTAACCACACAACAATGCATATGTAGATGCTGACCCAGGAATAAATTGCACCTGGTTAACCCAACCAGCATGAGACCACACTGCTTCCCATTGGCTAGCCACATGGCTTGGCAGCTACAGGAGCTTCATGGCCCAGCCAGCTCCTCTGCCACCTGACACAGCCACCCGCTGCCCAGACCTGACCCCTCATGCCCTCTTCCAGTGCCACCTCAGTCCATACTGCCCTGCCAGCCAGAGCCCAGGGATGACCCTCAGGCATCCTGCCAGCCCAGAGCTGTCCCCAGGCTCTCCCTGGCTGCTGCAGTGGGGCCAGAGCAAGGCAGGAGCAGCCCTGGCCTAAACTGCTCCTCCCTAGCTCAGTTTGCTGCTGTCCCAGGTGCACATGTAAATGCTGCACCTGGGAGTAATTTACTGCAGCAAAAATTGCTCCGCAGTTTATTCATGCACATTAATAAATATGCCCATGGAAAAACTTAAAACTCTAGGCAATAATAGCTCAGCTAAACTGGTGTAGTAACACTGCACTGGAAGAGGGCAGGGTTTGCCAACAAGCACCTGGGGTCAAGAGAGGGACAGTATGGGTAGTGCCATATTGGTGGGACATTGGTACTAGCTAAATGAGGAAACAAAATCTTAGGGTTACAAAAGCATTCACATAGTGACTTTACTCTATGGAAAATGATTCTATTCCCTAAAACATCCCTGAAACCCTGAGCTCAAACCAGCTAGTATACTCAGGTATCTTACAGGGTAGGTGTGTCTACATGATATTCTTTACTGGTCAGTAGCATAGCTTACCACACAGTAAGCATGTGCATCTACATGTGAACACACTCAATGAGCAGTAAACCTTATTAGTCACAAGTAAATTTGCTATCTGCAAACGCAAGTAGAAAGTATACTTGCAATTACTTACTGTGCAGTAGCGCTCATGTACATGCCTGACCAGGAGCAAATCTGCTCCTGGTCAGCCAGACACCAGGAGGTGAGAGATTGCTCCCTGCCCCCAGGAGCTGCCTGCTGCCAGGGTGGGCTATGCCACTGGAACCTGGGTGGGGACTATGTCCCCCTGCCCTGGCAGCAGAGAGCTCCAAGCCCACTACTCCAAGATTATGATTGAGAAGCAGCAGCTGGTAGATCCTCATCTACCAGAACCAGCTCTGCAACAGCAAGGCCAGCACTGAGAGATCCTTATCTCCCGGCCCAAGCTCTGTGGTAGTGGGGCTCAGGCTGGGAGACAAGGATCTTCCAGCGCTGGCCCCACAGTCACAGAGCTGGTGCTGGGAGCTCCCTGCTGGTATAGGGGGTTGAGGAGCCTGTTCTCCACTCAGCTCCATGATCACAGAGCTGGACAGGGAGCAGCCTCCCTGACCTGTTCCCCACCAAACTCCACAATTGCAGAGCTGAACAGGCTCTCCAGCTCCCACCCTGCAATCATGGAGTAGGGGCTGGGAACTGTTCTGGTCAGGGGCAGGTCCCAGCTCTATGCCCTGATCAGGTGATTAAAGCACAGGGCTTGGAAAGAGCTTGTAAAATTATGTCATCTTTGGCGGTACTTGATAAGTCCATGAAGCCACCCCAGAGTCTCTTATTCCACCTCTCCTCTAAGCACAGGCTCTCCTTCACTCACCTGCCAAGTCTTGACGTTCCTTGCCTCTTGAAGGGGAGGCTGCCCTAGGGTTTCCCCTAGGCATGACCTATGCTTGCATTCTCAAAAGGTGAGGAGCTCTTGCCTTAAAGGCTAATTACATGCTCCAACCTTCCCTTAATGTGCCCCATGCCTCACAGGTGTTATTTGTATGACTGTTAGGGGGTAGAAATTGAGTAGGCCGAGTCCCCCTTCTCCCTAGCAGCTTGCACCCCTCTGCTGCTGGACTCTCTGGCCCCTCTGTAACGGTGCACCATGGACCCTAATGAGGCCTCTCCCTCCCCTACAGCCTCATCCACAAACCACCGGTTTAAACTATAACATAAATAGCAAGCCCCTGGGCTATAAAACAAAATTACAGATAGCATTTAGCCTTCTTACTTGCTTGCTTTCTTTTCATAGGCTCCCCATTTCAGTCTCTACTGCTGGATGCTCTCCCTTGTAGAGCAGCTGCAGTTCTGCTTGAAGCTTGCTGGAATCAATCTCTTCCTCTCCAGTTTGTTCAGACCTGGGCTTATATACTTCTGGCCCTAGACCCTCTCACAGTCACCTGATAGTCATAGTCAGCTGACCAGCCTGCCAGGCTTAGCTCTTAACCCCTGCCCTGCTGGTAAGCTGTGCATTGAAGATTCAGGTCTTAAAGGGGCCATCCTGCCTTCTGATAACAGAAGTTAAGTTCCCTGTTACAGAGCTGTAGGGGTGAGGTAGGTCTCAGCCCCCTTTCCATGGTCCAATATCTTGGAAGAGTGAATTCAATATCTTCCTCTTTTACTACAAAAATCTGTCTTGTACATTCACATTTTTAACTACTATGGACTTCACTTTACAAATCTAAAGTGACCACCCTTCCATTAATAACCATAATTGTTTCAGACATCCATTAATTTTGATTTATTAACTTATTTAATTTCCCGTATTGTAATCTTGCCTACTCTATAAGTAATTTACTATTTTTGTGTTGAGGGTCAATATTAATTGTATAATCTGTAAATTGTTTAATTAATAACAATTAGCACCTCACATGAAGAGCTCACTTTCCTGCCTGAACTTTGTTAATGTAATCCCATGTTAATTTACCCTCTTTCCTCCACAACTGTGTATACAATTTGAGCCAGCACAAGTGGATATTTTAAGCAACCCCAAGAGCAGTGTTGTCAACTTTCATGATTTTATGACTCTGGTGACATTTATTTTGACCCTTAAAAACCTCAGCTCCATAAACCAGGTGAAATTCAGAGAAATTCCAAATCACAGAGTTAAAAGTATACTGAGAGTAGTTACTGTTAACTCAGCCAAAAGTGTGTTTACTTCAAGGTGTCTAGAAAAATGCACAATAAAATATTCCTTGACAGTTGTTTTATCTTAATCTCCCATATTAAAAAAATTAAATATTAAAAGGTCTTATTAATACAATGTCAGACTTGCTTAATGGTACTCTTTTATCTACTTGATATGATAGTAGCTAATTATTAAGTGAGTTAATGTATGTCTTGTCATTTAATCTACCCAAACTAATAATGAACTGTGTCAAACACTTATTAGTTACTCATTCTCTATATACCTAGTTGATATTAACATGGCCCACAATTAAACATCACTGCTCTTTCACTGCCAGATACAATGATGTGGTCAAACATTACTCTGCTGACCATTCTTTGAGTGTAGACAGAAGACATATTGTCTTCCATTTGTCTGGTCCAACAGGCTATCCATAAAAAAAACTTGGAGGACAAAAGAAGCAAAGGGAATGGCTAGTAAGGATTAGTCAAATTAATTAGATAGCCTTGGAGATAGTATGACATCTGTGAAAGTTTGAGGAGTAAGAAGAAGTGCTCTGACATAGGGAAAGTATCACATTTAGACACAGTAGATGCATTAAGCCTCTTTTACTGCTCCCAATAAGACACTAAGGCAGATTTTTCATTTCAGTTTTACATTCTGGCCCAGCTCTTCAGTAAACTGGGATAAATCAATCTTGCTTCACCGAAACCAGCAGCTGAATATTTCTCCCAAAATATTCTGGTTAAGATATTTTATTTTGAACATCTTACATCAGTAGTCATTTATTCCAGTTGTTGCAACTTCTGTTTGGGGGATAATATACAGATGGATTCACACAATAACATGTTCCTTTCTAATCCAGAAGGGTTATTTCTGGTGTCATTCCATTGAAGTCACTGGTATTGCAATGTGCATGAAATATTGTTGCCATTGGTCAATTGGTGATTGCTTTCTGTTATGGGAAAGAAATTAATTTAATGGACTCAGGTGTGGTATAATTCTTTTGTTTACACAACATACCCAAGCCTCCTATTCTTCAACCAATAAACTCAGCTGCATCCAGCCAGCTCTTAAACACACAGACATTTCTGCCTAGGCTGCCGGAAGGTCAGGTTTTCTTGCCATCCCCACAAGTCTCCAAGCTGGTTTTGATTGAGCTTTCCCCTTCACATCAGGAGCCAGGAAAACTGCAATGTATTCACCCTTAACAGAATCATTACACTGTCCTCTGCTGATCTTTCTCTGCTAAGCCAATTCATCTCTGTATTTTCCGTTATTTTGTGTGGCATTATCCAAAAGATAGTTAAGGTAGTTAGGATACTAGAGCATTCTTTGGAATAAGAATCTATTTGAAACATTATTGCAAGAACAGCTGTTTGAAATGTAACTGAAAACAAAATTTTATGTGCCAGGCAATATGCCTATCAACCATAGCATTGTCAGGTTTATGAGGTTTCCTCTAACCAAGGGAGGGCTTGAATGCCTAGTCGTAGTATCATAGTAACAAAAGAGTAGCTATCACTTGGTGAGGGGGTGGGGAGGATTGAAAACATCAAGACCTTGGGGCGCTGCCATCAAAACCAAGCAAAAACATTAAAACTAGTAGTAAAAGGGGCTGTCATTTGGGAGTGAGACCCCTGCTCCAGCTGCCAATAGACCTGTGTGGTGAGGGAAGGAAAGAGATCCAAAATTTCAATAGCCAATTACATCAGTTTGCTTACTCCTAACACTCTTATCAGGCGTTAGTAACTGAACAGATGCCCAATTAATGTTAGACCAATAGTTTTCAGCTGGGTTGCCAGGAAGCCTCTTTTTGTAAATCTCAATCTGTATTTCAAGAAGCCTTGCCCATCACTAACAGGATTCTCTCAAATTTCTTCTGGTTGCTTAGAAACAAGAACAAATGCAGACATACACATGGCAGAAATGTTATTTCATGAATGTACATCAATGGTAAGTTGAGGTGCTAGTGTGCTCAGTGTACAAGCCCTATTTATGGCTTATCAGACTGATCCAAGATTCTGGCTTTTTTCTGAGCATTTGGCATTTCTGAAACTTTGGCCATAGCCTTAGGTTGATCATTAGATACCTGCAAGCTTAATACAAGTGTGTACATCACTTCTACTGGTTTTAACGCAGGCTACTGATAATCTGATTATTTTCAGGTGTGCATTAAACTGGGATGGGGGACATACTTGGTAAACAGGGACTGGTTGGGTATTGTTAATCCTGTCTACACATCCACAAGTCTTACAATTGTTTTTCTTACGTGGATTTGAAATTACACAAATGAATGGTAGAGGATGTACTAGTTTAAAAGCTTTGGTCACTGCACCACTGACAATGATTATTTTATGCAAAATTTTTACAACATCTAATGTAACAAGGAGCCAATCTTGCTAGAGTTTTTTTGGCATTATCGTAACAAGGGCTCACAAGGTATCAGATCATTTTGAAAGTCTCCTGTGCTACAAAGTGCTTAAGACCAAAGAATATTTTAAATGTTATTCTACTAGAAGTAAAAAGCATGAAAAAAAATCTCCCTCCATTGAGTTATGCAAAATCTGAAAGAAAATAAAAATGTCTTAAACTAGGAAATCGGAAATCCTACTTATTACTGAAAAAGTCAACCTCTTCCTAACAGCTTGCAAGCACACAAAATGCGGAAGCTGTCATATTGATCAAACAAAAGCACTTAACTGTAAATTGCTGGACTTATCTGTCTCTCTTAGGACTAGCATCAACACACTATTCCCACAAATAAGCTTTGTGGGGCAATTTTTATTCTGTTCTATGTTTTCCACCAAAATTACATAACCAGGACTCAGTCTATGAAGGTAAATAGTTTTGCTACCTTTTCTAAAACAAAGGGAGAATGAACAGATTTAGCAAGAGAGCAATTTGGCCAAATAAGTGAAGGAGTGACAGTAAGGAAAATAGCCATAAACAATTTAAATTGAACACAACTATTTTTAACAAATAACTTTGCAGATGGACTTCCTAACATCTCAGGGGTCTTAGAAAGGTCTTGGAAGGCCACGTGCATTTTTACATTACTCTGGCTCCCATTCTAGCTATTTAATAAATAATTATTGTAAGTTTTATGCATTCAGAGAAGAAATTTCCTGTTGCTAAGACTGCATGGGGTACTGGCAACTCAACAAGCCAAGATTATATTGATGGTATCTCAAAGCCAACAGATAATTAGCTTTTTTATAAGGAGCTGGGGGAAGTAGGTGTTCCAACTGTTTTGTTGCCATTTGCCATTGGCCACTGGCCATAATAACTTGTCTCGGTAATATGCTTTCAAGGTAGTGACTTTCTCCAAAGAAATTATGAGCAGTTGGGCTCCCATTAAAAGAGGAGAAAGTGGAGAATTGTCTATTCTGTTGTTTTACTAGAGTTAAGAAAGCGATTCTGAAGCAAACATAGTAATAGTGTATTCCCACCTCATCATCTTCAGTCAACTGACAATGGTAGCACTGCTGCGAAGGTCAATATTACAGCTACATTGATACAACTAACTTCCTTAAAATTCTCCAAGCAATTTTAGCCCCCTACCAGCCCTCATCCCCCACCAAGCTCAACCTAGCACATTTTGTTACATGCCTGGTTGTAATTATAACTAGCTCACAAAGTTTTATAACTGCTTAGAAAAGGGAATTGATTCACACATCATTTTTATGAGAACTAGCATCAATAAACTTGCACTTTCATTTCCTTTTGTATATGATCTAGCTAAGATGAGACCTAAATGAAACAGACAACATTTAAGAAACACAGAAGAAATTACGTTCCTAGTGATATCTACAATCTGTCTATCAATAGAGAAAAATAGAAGGTCGGTGGAGTACACATTATTTCAGGCCTGTATGGCTGAATGCCTTTAGCTTCCATTTACTTCAAGAAAGCCCATAATTGCTCACACAAAAACAAATGTTCTAAATTTGTATTTAGCTTCGTCTGTAACAGCTTCTTTCCCAGACCTGATGAAGGGCTCTCAGTGCCTGAAAGCTTGTCTGGCATCTCTCCTAACTATACATTTGATCCAATAAAAAAGCCTCACTATACAAACCCTTGCTTCTCAAAACAGAGAGAGCATGGATGAGAAAGAAGAGAAGGGAAAGCAATGCCAGAACGGAACATGATAGGCAGTACTGTATTTGAACATGTAAAAGAGAAGCTACCTTACAGGGAAGAAAGTTTAATTTTCAAATTATTATTTACTTTCTTAAAGAGACCTGGTCAAATGAGAGT